CAATAAATCTTCCACTGTTACATTAACTTCTACTGTGGTCCTATTTTCTGGTTGATTCAACATTTCCTCAAACATATTTTTAAATTCGTTCGCTATTTTTCCTTTATCTGTTATAATAGTTCCATCATCCTTTCTTATCATAGTTGTTTTCGGCATGTAACCTGTTTTTACATTCTTCACTTTTTCAAAGAAGGCTTTTATGTTTTTTTGTTGTTGTTTTATATTTCTGTTATTCTTTGTTTTTCCCAATTTCTCTTCGCTATTCTTATAGTTTTTTTTGCCTCTCTTTGTTTACTTGCTAGAGTTCGTGAGTTTTCGTTATTTGGGTTTTGAAACACCTTCAAGCGTGCTTATTCCTTATAACTAAGTATTTTTTGCAATTTTCATCAAATCAAATTTTCCTCTTTTCCCTTTATGTGTTACCCAATATTCTTTCCGATGTATCTTTGATTACTTGTGCTATTTTTTCCCAGGTGTTATTTATGTCTGCTTTCTGATGTATTTAGCTGCATTTCTTCATTTAATCTTTCTTGATACATCTTAATTAGTTAACAACAAATTAATATACCTAATATAAATATATTTCATCCGTGCCAAAAGAAATACACTGAAGTAAGTAACCAGTTTCTATACTTACTATTCTGTTCGTTTTGCATATCCTCGTAACAACTATTACAGATTTTGCACTTATTTATATTTTTGTTTTAAATTTTTAGTTCTCGCGATCTCTCACATTCTATCCGAATGTTCTTATTACTTGTCTCCGAAGCTCATTTCTTTTTTGAATTCCCTTAAACCCATCAATTCTTATACATTATAAGGTCATTCGGTAAAGTAGTTAAATGGTTACTCATGACTTGGGCCCGGATTTTAATGCACTATAAAAATCATTGAAAAATGCTCTAAAATATAGCTGAAAATGCCTTTAAAAAATACATTTTACCAGGATAATGCCTTTAAAAAATGACATAAATTTTTATAAAAATTATTGTTTTATTGGTAATTTATAATATTTTTATTTTATTAAAAAAAAAACAACCGAAAAATTTGACTTGCGACTAGCGACGATGGATTTGACTGAAGGGCTTTTCGCTTCTGCGTTATCTTGGATTTTTATAACCGCCAGCTCATCTTTGTATAATTTGTACAGCAGTTTCCTGTCTGCGTGTTTTATCCCCACTTTTGTCATCATATTAAACATTAACTTCCAGTTCACATTATCAAATGCTTTTCGATGTTCACAAAAGCTATACATGTTTGCTTATTCTTCCTAATCCTTTTCTGGATAATAATTCTCAGTGCCAGTATTGCTTATCTCATTCCTCTATTTTTTCTGAATCCGAATTGGTCCTCCATCAATGATTGTTCTATCTTGGATTCAATTCGTTGGAATATAATCTTTGTTATGATTTTTGATGCATGTGATAGGAGGCTAATGGTACGGAATTCCTCACATTTCTTTGCTGCTGTCTTCTTTGGGATGGGGATAATTATGCTTTTTATGTAATCCTCTGGCATTTTGCCAGTCGCGAATATATCTGATGATTTTGAACAGTCTGTTTTTAACTTCTTCTCCTGCCTCTTTCCAAAGCTCCGTTTGTATTCCATCAGTTCCCGCTGCCTTTTTGTTTTTCAGATTCTTCAGTGCTTTATCGAATTCGTCCCTCATGACTGGATCCTTTTCATATTCTTCTTCTTCGTTTGATTCAATTTCTTTAAGGGTTTCTCCCTCATACAGTATTTCTAAAAATTCTTTCCATCTTTTGGCAATATATTTTTGTTTCTACAACATTTTCCCATTATTATCTTCTATTCCTCCTGCTCTGTGCTTATACTGGCCAAAGAACTTTTTCACCATTTTATATGCTTTTTCCCTTCTTCCTGTTTTTATTAGTGTTTCAATATCACTATAATTTTCTTCCAGGTACTTTTCTTTTGCTTCTTTCGATTTCAAAATAATTAAATTCCTCAATGCTCTATATATTTTTTGTCCTTCAGTACTGTTCAAATTTTTATATTTTCTTCTTTCCTCTATCAAGGTCAAAATTTCAGCTGTAATCCAGTCCTTTCTTGCTGTATTGTTTTTATGCCCTAGAGTTTTTGCTGCTGTTTTTGTGATTGTCTGTTTCAAGCTCTGCCATCTTTCTTCAATGTTTTGTGGTTCTAGGGAATCTTCTATATTCATATCATTTGTGCATTCACTGTATTGTTTCCTTGATTTTTCTTCTCTTAGGTTTTTAACTTGCCATTGTACCATTTTCTTCTTACACGTTCTTTTTTTGAATTTATGATTACACTTCATCATAACAAGGTTGTGATCGCTATTTATGTCCGCACCTGGATAACTTCTACTTTCTTTTACTTGATTCCTAAATCTATTTTTTACCATGATGTAATCAATTTGCAAATACATCTCTACCAAATTCATTTACGTAGCCAACCAAGCGCGAAGAAGTAGATTATTTTATTTTAGGCATTGTACGAACGAACGAATTAAGACAACGAAAACCGAAATAAACGCGACCAAGAAGTGACACGAACTAACCAATAATATTATTATTTATTATTAGCCAAGTCCGTACGATTATAAATAAAGATAAGATGGACAATATTGTATGTATAGAACGGTTTATAAATTGTAAGAAAAGACCCGAAAAACACGAGTAATATTTTGAATTAGCTATATTTAGATTATTAAGTCATATTAGAGATTTAATATTCCAAGTATATTTAATCTATGGCCGTAAAATGTATAAATATTGCATTTTTATATGTTATACTCGTATATTGTACAAATATGCATTAAAAACGAAAAATGCTAAAATATGTTCAAAAATGAAAAAATATTGAAATATGCAAAAAAATGCAAAATAAAAATGTCACCTTTGAATATAATTAGAAATAATATTTAAAAAGTAATTTATACACGGGCATTATTAGCGCTTGGAGTTTTTGCAAATGTAAATATTACCTTTTGCTATTATCCTATTAAAATATTTAATTAGTTATTAGTCACAGGGCACATTCAAGGATTTTCTTTTCCATGAGTTAATATCTTGCAATAATATTATTATGTAGGTAATAAGAGCGCCTCAGGAGCAAATTTGCGCCATCAATCAGAAGCGTTCACTTCTGTTATTAATATTTGGAAAACATATTTCTTATCATAGTATATAAAAATATTAAATATTATTAGTATAATATAATATATATATATATATATATATGCTGTACATGAACTATGTGGGAAGAGTACTTATCTAAACTAAGGCTCTAATATAGCTCATAATTTCTATGTATATATATATATTAGGGTGGTCCTTATTTATGAACTTTGAAATTGTTGATGTAGGACCCGCTCACTTTTTTCAATGTTATAAGAAAATAATTTTGGTTGATTTTGGTCGTGACTACTCACTTCTTTCCCGTGCCCCTGAGAGGTTGAAAAATAGCCAACAAGGGTAGTTATATCATTTTTTCGACCTTACAAATAAATATAATACTTAGCGAAAAAATGTATAGAACGTAAAATTTTCAATAAAAAGTATAAGTATGTTTTTTTATTGTAAGTCTATTATTTTCGAAGAAGAATAATAAAGTACAACATTTTAAATTTCTGTTACCAAATTAATAATTTGTAGTTATTTACATATATTTGATGAACGAATAAAGGTATTAAAAATATGTTTCTTTAAAAATTATATGAAATTAAATTTCTTATTAGGTTAAAAGGTTATATGTCAAATGTTCATTGGATCCTTCGTTGCATTGTTTGAATCAGATTTATTTATTTCGTGTCAGGCGCATAGTATAACAGTAATAATGATAATGATCATAAGAGTATAACAAAAATAAATAAATAAAATAGGTAAGTAACATTAATAAACAATACATAATAAATAAATAAGGTTAGCATTACACTAAATAACATAAATAAAATATAATGTTTGGTATAATATGGTAATACTGTTGAGGGTTTTAAGACGTTATTAGTGGATTTATATTGTTTCGGTCCAGATGCGGGCCACGTTAATTCCTTGGCTTGTGCCTTTTTGGATGTCTTCTGGGGTGTACGTTTGAGAGCAAGCTGTGCATTTGATGATATGTAGCATTGTCTGTTCTTCTCCGCATTGACACAATGTGCCTGCGCTATCTAGCAGTCCCCATTTTATGAGATTATCTTTTGTTCGTCCTATTCCTGTCCTGAGTCTGTTTAGTTGTCACCAGACCGGCCATGTTTCATTATGACCAGGTGGAAGTGACACATTCGGCACCCAGCTGGAAGTACTGCTTATCTCGTTTCTCCATCTGGTCGTCCTTTCTGTTTCAGGATGTGTTGACAAGATGGCTTTTGTATGGTTCATAAAACTCTTCCTGGACTTGAGACGAGGTATTTGTGGAGTTATACCGTACATGGGATGTCGTGGGTCTGATGTTATTTTCGTTCTTTCCCAGTCTGCTTGCGTGGACCTTCTTATTGAGGGAGGAACTATTCCCGAAAGTATGTATAGTTGTTCAACCGGTGCATTTTTTAAGCAACCGGTTATGAGTCGGCAAGACTCGTTTAGTGCAACATCAACTTTTCTAGTGTGTAATGACTTATCCCATACTGGACTAGCATATTCTCCCGCTGAAAAGTATAGTGCTAACGCCGTAGTTCTTAAGACGTGAGGATTACAGCCCCATGTGGAGCCACTAAGCTTCCGCAATATGCCATTTCTTGTCATTATTTTATGTTTGGTGTTTTCGCAATGGAATCTGTAGGTGAGAGATCGATCTAGCGTTACTCCAAGGTATTTTGGACGTTGAGTACGGCTGGCACATCGATTCCTCAAGTGAAAAACACAGACTTGTGTTTTACTTGGGTTAGGTTTTAGGTAATTGCGCCTAAAATATTTTCCAAGAACGTCTAAGGTTGCCGATAATATTTCCTCTACATTTTCAAAATTGTCGTGTTGTACTACAGTTGCTGTATCGTCTGCGTAAACATAGTGTTTTACGTCGCTATCTGTGGATATTGGTTGATCGTTTGTGTAGATGTTAAACATAGTAGGGGCTAGCACACTTCCTTGAGGGAGACCATTTTTGAAGATTCTCCACCTACTATTCTTGCCTTGATGATTTACGAAAAATCTTCTGTTACTTAGAAGGGCTTCGAAAATTCTTACAAACTCGTAATCCATAGTGGTATCATATAGTTTCTTTAGCATTAGTCTGTGGTTTACCGTGTCGTATGCCGCCGTTAGATCTACGAGCGACGTGCCTATGATTTTCTTGTTTTCAAAACCATTCTCGATTTTTTGTGTTAGATTGAGGATCTGCCCTGTACATGATTTTCCTGGTCGGAAGCCAGCTTGTTCTTTAATTAGTGTACTTTCCACAAAGGGTACTAGGCGGTTAAGCAGCATTCTTTCAAAAAGTTTGTATGTGTGGCACAGAAGGGATATTGGGCAATAGTTCTTTGGGTCATCCTTATCTTTCCCTGGTTTTAGTAAGGCTATAATTTTAGTTATCCTCCATATTTTAGGGATGATTTTCCGGTTTCTTATTTCGTTATACAGGGTGAGTAGCCATTGTTTGGCTTTCGGCCCAAAATTGCGGATCTGTTCGACAAAAATATTATCTAGCCCGGCTGCTTTCCTAAGTTTCATTGTCTCTATAGCTATGTTCATTTCATCCTCATCGAAAGGCCGGCTGAGGTGGTTCCTTTCCTTTTCTTTGTTTCGTATTATTCTTTTAGTAGGTTTATCTTCCTGTTTGGATTTTTTGGTTTTACTGTTTAATAGTAATTGGTGGGCGATTTGGTCGGGAGAGACGTTCGACAGTCCTTTCGCGTCAGTAGGGTCACTGTTTAGCCTTTTAATAAGGCCCCACGCTTCTTTACTACTATGTTTCATGTCCGTTTTATCCAGAAGTTTATGCCATTTATTTCTTTTTTCCTGTGCAATGGCATTCGTGAGCTCTTCCCTTTGTTCCTGGTTTGTTCTTCGAAGGTTATTTTCGAACATATTGATATATGAGTTATAATTCTCCATGGTCTCGCTTGATAGTCCAGGTATGTGATGTGTCCTGCATCCTCTTGGTATGTGTTTCGGGGATATAAGTTTTACTTTCTCTACAAAGGATTCATAGTATTCGGGTAGTGGTTCGAGATTGTCTATGTCTGAATCGAAGGCTTCCGAGAAAAGGTTCTACTTTGCTTTCATGAAATTGTATCTCCTGTGGAATGGGACAATATTGGGTCTTACCACAGCCTCAAACTGGCGAATTACGGGCCTATGTTGTGTATTTGGAATTGGGTCTCCCATTTTTTTGGTACAGAGTTTGCTGATAGATTCACTGACAAATATAAGGTTGGGGTTGTATCCTATCTTCCAGCGACCGCTATTGAAAGATGGGGATAGTTTGTTATCGTGAATCAGTACCATGTCTTCACCTTGTGCCCAGATTTTTACTACTTCGCCATCATCGTTTTTCTCTGTATAGCCCTAACTTGAACTTTGGCTGTTGAAATCACCCATGACTATGTTAGGATTGTGTTGTAAGCTGCCTTCGGTTTTGAAATTGGGATCTATGAAAGGGGAATTTGGTGGTTTATAGATTGATGAGACTGAGATGTGCGGTAAGTGCACTGTGATGAATTCAATGTCGTTTTGTTCATATACTTTTACTGATTTAATGATTATATTAGGTTTTACAAAAATAGCACTGCCATATTTTCTATGGTGCCTTATTGCTGCTAGCTTCATTCCACATATACTTGGGGTATTAAGAGTCTGGTCTCGATGGTTCTCTTGGATGCACATAATGTCACATGATGTTGATTTGCAGATGGCAGATAGAATTTCTTCCTTAACTCTCGTAATACCTTCGATATTTATCGATACGATCATCAACGCTGGCCCTGAAAAGGGCCGTTTCAGGCGCGGGTTTTTAGGACCGCTGGGCATTGTTATTATATTGAGGGATAGGTTGCGCCTGAATTTGGAAGAATTGGCCGGTGTTTGGTGAGCACCGTTACTAGAGGACACCGCGTAGAGGTTTCTTCCATGTCCTCCAGTCAGATTTATTAAATATTATAAATAATATGTTTAAAAAACGGTAATTTACCATTAAATACATAAAAAAAATATCGTAATATGGTAATAAATATTAAATTAAAACATATTTTAATAAAATTTATATACTCTTAATATTTCAATATACATCAAACAATTTGTTGTTATTATTAACTATTTATATACTATTTATATTTGAACAATCTTATTTATACAATTAAAATTATTTTTTTTGCAGTCTGAATAATGGCTATAATAGTCACTGACTACTTGCAGTACTAATTGTTTTTGTTCTTTGCTTTTTGTTAACAAATCGTTGTAGTCTTCAATGAGTTTTACACCTCTTTCCGCAGCATGATTTACAACATTTTGTTTTTTTACAACCTCAAAAGCGTTTTAATAAGATTCGTCAACAGACCAAGTAGAAAGATCTTTTTGAAGGAAACTAATATCAAAATTGAATCTATTAAAAAATTCATTAGTTTCACTTGATATACAAATTTCAATTTCATATTTAATAAAATCCGCAATAAATTAGTCATTTACTAGAACTCGTTTATTCATTTCAGGTGGTTCTTTCCGGAGTTTGAGATTTTGAACCATTTTTTTTTTTTTTGTTTCAACTGATATATTAATATCAAAAAAAGCTAAAGCGACCGGATTCAGGATTTAAATACCATAAATGATTTTTAAATTTATTAAATGAAACTCTTGATTTACTTTCATCAATTGTTTTACAGTTTTACGTTTTTTAATAAAATTTAGATCATTATAAGGTGCGGTCGAAACTAACGTTGCATTAAACCATGTTTCAATATATGCAACGACCAAAAATATTGAAATATCACATAGCTCTTTCTCTTCTGTTTTGGTTAATTTAAACTAATAGCGAAATATATTTTTAGACGATATATTGTCTTAGCCATCCACCTTGCGTGGTTAAAAGCTGGTAAACGAAAAGATTGTTTAGTACCGTGACCAAGGAAAAACAATGTAAGTTCTAGTAACTCTATAGTCATCACGTCAGTGATTTCATTAGTCGTTCATCACTCAGTTTTGATTGAGCAAAAGAAACAATATAGGTGTGAGGATTTCATTTACTTTTTTATTTTCAATACCTGATTTAAATTTCGTTTTGTCGATATTTTCCCACTCTTTTTGGAATCTTTTGAAAATGGGTACATCGCAATCTACCGACTTCCTTATTTTTTCGTTAAAAACACTACGGAGAACGATTTAAAAAATGTGGTGACGACATGGTAAATATAATAATATAATAATAATATAATATAATAATATAATGGCATACGTTAAAAGTGGTCTGATTATTGAGGTATGTAGGAGGAATGATGACTTGATTTATAGTTGAGTAGGGGGTAAATAATTCTCATCCTTGCATAGTCTTGTGAGAGTTTTTTGTTAATATGTATGTTACAGGTAAGTTTTTCATCTAGGTGGATACCCTGGTATTTGACTACGTCGTCTTTTTTATTCCATGGAATGACCTGGTTGTTTATGCGAATATTTTTGAGATTGTTATATCGTTTAAGGGTAAAAATTTTAACCTCACTTTTAGTTAGGTTTAGCTTCAACTTCCAATTTTTGAACCAGAAAGTTATTTCGTTTAACGAGGATTGTATATTTTGGATTGCTAAATCTAAAGAACTGTTTTGAGTAAGAATTATCGTGTCGTCCGCAAACATTGCTAATTGAGAGTTGGGAGGAGTTGGAATGTTGTAGTTGTTGCAGTAAATATTAAATAGGGTTGGTCCCAAGACTGATCCTTGGGGGACCCCAGCTTTGATGTGGTGCAGTTGTGAGAAGTCTGTTTCTACTCTCACTTGGAAAGATCTGTTGGATATGAAGGATGTGATAGTTTTAAGTAAGTATGCAGGGAGATTTAATGTTTTTAGTTTTTGTTCAAGCCCACTGTGTAAGACCTTATCGAAGGCTTGTTTTAGGTCTAAGAATGCTGCTGTGGTGTATTGCTTTTTTTCGAATCCGTGTACAATTATTTCAGATATGCGCTAGATTTGGTGACATGTGGAATGTTTGGTTTTGAAACCAAATTGGNCAGTATCCTTTCGTACAGTTTGGATAGTGTTGGTAGTAGACTGATCGGCCTGTAGCTAGTAGGAGAATTGGCTGGCTTTCCTGGTTTGTGAATCGTGACTATAATTGCGTGTTTCCATGTAGAAGGGAAGGTAGCGATGCGCATGGCTGAGTTGAATAAGGAGGCTAAATAGGATAATGCTTTAAATGTCAGGTTTTTTAATATTTTGTTGGTTATAAGATCATGACCAGGACTTTTCTTACTTTTTAATTTAGATATGATCAGTTGTATTTCTTTGGGATATGTTGGAATGATAGTATTGCTGTACTTATCGTTGGTTACATTCGGTGATTCATCTGAACTCTCTCTTTGTGGTGTAGTGTTGTCTTCGGAAGTGAAACAAGTTTCAAAGTATTCGGCAAATTCTTCAGACTTTTCATAGTTGGTGTCGTATTTAGCAATTCCATTTTTTAATGGAGGGATGAGATTAGGTTGCTTTAGGATTCTTTTTGTCGCTAGCCAAAGACTAGAGTCATTTGGGTTTACCTTTTAAAGGTAGGCGCGATAAGAATTATACCTTAAGTTATCAAGTTCCCACTTTACTCTCCTATTCAGTTGGTTTAATCTTCTTTTGATTGCTATGTTTCTAGTTCTCTGCCATATTCTTCTAGTTTTGTGTTTTTCTTTTATTGGATTTTGTACGGCAATTGTGAGGGAATTGGTTGGCTGAGGTGTAGTTGCATGTTTTCTGGTCTGCGCTTGGGTGACTGCAACTTTTATTGTGCCTGCGATATGCTCGATGCTCTTATTGATATCGTCTAAGTCTCTGTATCGCTTTTGATTATTAAGATTTTCATCAAAGTTTTTCCTAAAGGTTTCCTAGTTTAAAGGAGCGTTGATTAATTTTGGGATTGGGTTTTTAGCTTTGATTTGCGCATTTAAGGATGAGATAACTGGCACATGGCCAGAATCAAGTTCATTTAGGACTAGGTGATGCAAGTATAAGAGCAATATCAAGTATGTCAGGTTATCTGCCAGAACGTTGGAAAGTAGGATCAGCATGTGATATTACAATTCGTTGTTCAGATGTGAATTTAAGTAGCTTATTACCATTTGGATTTGACTTTTAAGAGTTCCAGGCTTGATGTTTCGAATTAAGATCGCCCAAGAGTATATTTGGCATGTGAACCTAAGTAGCTTATTACCATTTGGATTTGACTTCTGACAGCCCTAGGCTTGATGTTTCGAATTAAGATCGCCCAAGAGTATATTTGGCATGCTTTGGAATAGTTGGGATATGTCTTCGCGTAAGATTTTTTTATTGGGTGGATTATATGCCGAAATTATTTTTATATCATGTTTTTCGGTTGATACTATTATTGCGGTGGCCTCTATGTTAGTAATGTTGTGCAAGGTTGACTGGTGATGTCTGATATTTTTCATTATTATTCTTTATTAAAATATTAAAATATTAAAAAACGTGACAACGTCGGGACACTAATACACAGTAACTGAGAAATACGTATAAAATCAACTTATTTTATCATGCCCATTTAATAATAGACATGACAAAATAAGATAAAATTATTATACACTCATAATGTGTATCTAATCTTATCTCGTAATACAACAAAATAATTATTTTCTTCAATAATATTAAAATATGTTTGAATAAACCATTTTAATTTTATAAATAAGATGTTCAAATGTATATAAATAGTTAATAATAATTTGTCTGATGTATAATATTTAATAAATCTGACAATGCAACGAAGGAACCAATGAACATTTGACATATAACCTTTTTAGTAAGAAATTTAATTTCACATAATTTTTATATATACTTATACTTTTCATTGAAAATTTTACGTTCTACAATTTACGTTCTATACTTGTTTTCGGTAAGTATCATATTTATTTGTAAGGTCGAAAAAATGATAAAACTACTCTTGTTGGGTATTTTTCAACCTCCCAAGGGCACGGGAAGGAAGTGAGTATTTACGACCAAAATTAACCAAAATTATTTTCTTATAACAATAAAAAACATGAGGGGATCCTACATTAAAAATATAAATATTTTTTGCTTACTTCTATAAATAAGGATCACCCTAATATATATACATATATATGTAGCTCTTATATAGCTCTTTAATCTAAACGAGTACTTGACGTATAAAAATATAAACTGTCTTCTTCCAGTTTCAATTTCCATTCTTTGAAGGTGAAAAATATTATTATAAGTGTGTTACACCTATAGAAAAACAAAATACCATGGAAATTTTCAAATATTATTTTTTCTTTTTCTAACTAAATGCCATGATCTGCATCTATGTGTAATATTAATAGTTTTTTGTTTGTAAAGAACTTACCACAAGACAAATCTGGATATTTTACAGAAATAATATTATTATTTTTGTACATTACATGTTATTAAATGAGTGTCGCTTTAAAGTTTTTTTATAACTAAAGTATTTGTCGTACTGCATACACGCCTATGATTTGTATCCATACTAAATTTTATACATTTTTAAATATAGCCACAACACAATTTGGCACTAGGTACAGAAACAATCAGCACAATATTAGAAGTGTATTTTTATACAATATTAATAAACCCCTGTTTTAACTATTTATTTTGACAGATAACTTACAATATATTGTACTGTTATTTGTAACTTTTAAAAGCAATAGTGTTAT